GAGAGGAAATGGCGTGTCACAAATTTAGAGGATCATCATTTAGCCTGGAGAAATAGTTTGCTGCTTTATAAGAAAGCCCTCCCAAAGCCAGAACATCTTACTATTCATCACTGATTGAAGAAAATAAGAACAACCCCAGGTTTCTCTTCAGCCTGTAGCCAGGCTGACAAACAGTCAGAGCTCTGTTTGAGCCAACCATCCCTTTAACGTTAACTCTGAGACCTTAGTTTTCACAGGAGCTACAGTATCCAGAGTCATACGCAGTGAGGAGGTGAAATTATTAACAAGATGATAGAAACTTTCAGTTCAATTCAATATTATTTACACAGTGCCAAAGCACAACAGTTGCCCAAAGGTGCTTTATATTGCAAGGTAGATCCTACAATAATACATACAGAGAAGAACCCAACAATCATATGAACAATTACACCATAGTGAAAGCTGTGTCTGTAACATTCTCCAGAGAATACAAATGTCTCCAGCTCCAGCTTTTGAAGCTTGTCCCATTCAGATGCTGTGTCATTTCAGTGCGGGGGAGTTCTTCTACCTCTTATTTTGATTCCATCACCACCGGGATCAGCTGCTTTCTTTGGAACTGATTGTCCTGACCTTCAGTCACAGGTGTCCAGGAGCTGCTACTTGCCTCAGGTTGGCTCTGTGTCCTGGTGGGGTAGCATAGAGAGACAAAGGTCAGGTCACTGTTTCGACCTCTTGAGCAAATTTATCCCCTTTGTGTGTCTTAAATGCTTAATCAACCTCGACATACTTTTACTCTACATCTAGATTGCTCAGCTCTTTCAGTTGGTCCTTCAATTAAGTTCTGTCAAGCCGATCTCTTATATGGGCCTGAAAATATTATAATAATAGTTTTGTATTCTTTTTCTCTCAGTATGTCCATGTGGAGATCAAGTTGGTTGGTTAACAGTTGGTTCTGTTAACTAATTTGTGTTCTCATCCACACAGATTTTGCCTTTTATTTTAAGTCTATATTCAGGACAAATATTCAAGTCAATAAAGTTTAAGAAAAAAGTAAAGTCTAAATTCATGTCAAAAGGTACACCCTCTTTCAAGTCTAAGGGTTTACATATCAGTACAGCATAAAAATCACCTGGTCCTTAGCACCTTGAAGTACAGATTAACTAAAATCATGAAATATTACACTGTGCTATTATTTACTGAACAAATATTAATGCAGAAACTGCAAAATCTAAATATCCCCATACTACTTCTATGGGAATTACGAGGGAAAGTAACAGCCAGGTGCTCATAATAAAATGCATTAGATAAACTGAACATCAATCAAGTCTGGCCACCTCTAATAAAAGCACACATTTTGGCAGTTTGCTCGTCTGGAGCATTTAGGTGTGTGTGTTAATCTTAATGAACAAGGAGGAAAGATATTAGCAATTATATTAAGGAAGCAGTTGTTGGTGTCATCAGTCTGAGATTGATAGGCACCAACCCTATAACCCTTTCCAATCTGGGAAAGGCTGTGAGGCCATTTTGAAGTCCATTCTACAGTAAGAAAATGTTTCACAAGTGGAAAACTTTCAATACAGTTGCTCATCTTCCCAGGAGCTGATGTTCTGGAAATTCATCTCAAGCCCACATAGCAGACAGGTCTGGCCCGGATCTAGTGTCAAGAGTGTAACTGTGGATGAATGTAGGTAGGAAGCACTCAGTTTAGAGAAAGTGTGTGATTGGGTGAATGTGGCATGTTGTATAGAGCACTTTCAGTAATCCGGGACAGTAGAAAAGCGCTATATAAGAATCAGTCCGTTCACTGTCTGAACAGAGTTTCGTCATGTTGCTTTTGCACTGTTATGTTCCAACACATGTTGTTCTTACATGGCTTTATTAAGGTACACATTAGGCTGACATCTGGGACCAGAGCTGAAACTGTTATGGGCCAGCACAGGGCCAGCAGTGTGTCTGCAACTGGCCTTGTGCTGGCCCATGTGTGGGCCACCTCTGGGCCACCAAAGGGCCGTCATTCTTTGTGGTATGTGGGCCATGTGTAAGCACATTGTGTGGGCCAGATCCGAGCCATGCCAGTTTTGCTATGTGGGAGGTCACCAAGACTCAGAAACAGCGAAAAGAGCAAAAGTCCACAATCCTCGGTTACCATGTTACTGTAAATGTTAAAGCTACAGTACAATTACAAAAAGAGAATGGCTTTTTTTGGAAGGGTTACCAGGAGAAAGCCACTTCTCAGTAAAAGAACATGGCAGCATGGCTTAAGTTTGTATACATTTCACCCACACTGGATTCTTTTAAGTTGTTCTTTTGCTAAAGGTTATCATTGGGGCTGGATCAGTTGACTCTGAATCCTCCCTTAGTTAGGTTGCAATAAGCTTGGGCTGCTGGAGGCTTCACATAATGCACTGAGCATTTCTGCTCCTCTCAGCTTGTGTTTTTACACCACTCTGCATTTAATTATTATTAATCGCTGGCTGTTTTACAGTGTGCCTTTTGTCCTGTCTTCCTCCCTTTCACCCACAACAAATGGCCCCGCCCCTCCCTGAGCCTGGTTCTTGTGGGGGTTTCTTCTGGTAAAAAGGGAGTTTTTCCTTCCCACTGTTGCCAAGTGCTTGCTCATTGTCTGATTGATGGGGCTTCCTCTGTATTACTGTAGGGTCTTTGTCTTACAATATCAAGTGCCTTCAGGCAACTGTTGTCGTGATTTGTCGCAATATAAATAAAACTGAAAATCCAATTTATTGGTTTTAGTTGCAGTTGTTGAGTTGCCATGAACTCCTCTATATACCATTATTGTATACATTATACCAATTATAACATTATTTTAAAAAAGTGTTGACCAAAATTCCAAATGTGCTCATTTTTTTCATTCATTTTACCCTCACTGTTTTGACTGAATAATATTTATCGTGTAAAATCTTCCATAAGACCTTGTGTTCACTAAAACCTTGTTATCCAGCAACATACAAAATCTTGAAAAATCAGGCCGTATCATATCTTAAAGTCAGTTGATCCAGAATGCTGCAGTGACAGTACTAGCAGGGACTGGAAAGACAGACCATTATTCTCCATACTAGCTCTTCACTGGCTTCTGGTAAAATCCAGAATCAAATTTTCAATCCTTGTCCTCATATGCATTAAATAGGCAGGTCCGATTGCATCTTAAGGAGCATGCAATATCATATTATCTTGCAGGTAAGGTGCAACACTCTCTCACTACAGGCTGCAGAAAAGTACAAGCCTTACGCCACCAGGCTCATCTCCTGTGGAAACAGCTCTGAGTTTGGATTCAGGAGACAGACACCCTCTCTACTTTTAGATCAGTCTAAAAACTTCTGTTTTGTTTCTTTTTGGTAAAGCTTTTGGTTAGGGTTAGGGAGCCATCCATTAGTTTTGCTGGTATCGGCTATATCGGCTACAATCATTCTAGCTTTCATGTGATGTGACTCCTCCTCAGCTCCAACTTATCCTGTTCAGTTGAACATAATCTCTGCCATTGCTGGATTCCACTCTGTTATATCTACTGTGTACTTCAAAAAACTGTTTAGTTCTTTCAGAGGATCTATCCTTACTGAACTGCATATTATTAAATTATGTCTTCTTTATCTCCCAGTTTTCCTGCCCCTCCTCCAACTGTGGCAGATGGCTGCCTCTCCTTGTTAAACGGTAGTTCTTTCTTACCACAGTCACCAAGGATTTGGTCATTTCATTCACAGCATATCTTTATCCTGTCTTCCTTCTCTCACACCAACCAGTCGCAGCAGATGGCCCCGCCCCTCCCTGAGCCTGGTTCTGTCGGAGGTTTCTTCCTGTTAAAAGGGAGTTTTTCCTTCCCCTTGCTGCTTGCTCATAGGTGGTTTTCTGTATGTAGTATTGTAGACTCTACCTTACAATATAAGGTATATATACAATAATATATACAATATTCTCTCCAATCTAAAAGCTAATATTGTAGGGTCTTTATATTTCAATATAAAGTGCTTTCATCAACTGTTGTGTTACGCTAACTGCATATAAATAAATGCATCATTTCCTATTATTGTCATGCTGTGCAGCTAATTGAGAAAATGATATCAAAACAGGAGTTTTTTTGCCCCTGTATCCTGGCATGAGTTAATCTAACCCAGACAGCACAGATTTACACTTCCAAATTTGATCTGCCTCTGACACGACAAATAGACCCATTGAGGGAGTTGAACTGAGAAACATAAAAAAAATCTCTAAAGATTAATTATAGTGGACTGATTATTTGAGAGGTGTTCCTTGCATCGACTGTCTGTTTGACACTGATTTGTGTTCCAAAGCCAATCAAATAAAGTACCTTTTTAACTGCGCACATGACGGGAGGTAGCGGGCGCGCCTTTTCATCAGATGGGAAGTGTGAGGTGAGATGGATGACAAGGAGATGGGGAGGACGTCTGTCATTCATTCAAAGGAAATCCCAGTGCAGCAACGCGCAGGGGCACTCACAGAGGACAGAGAAATATAGAGTGCTGAGAATCATTATCTGAGGAAGCTAGGAGAGAATGAGCAGATGGAAATAGGAAAGGGATGATCAGAACTGAGAAAAAGAGCTCAGCATTGTGGCTGGAGAGGCAGAGTGAGAAAAGAGAGGGAGGGTGAGAGAGCCTGAGGAAGAACAGAGCATATGAAAGCTTGTTGTATTAATGGCAAAGTAAAAAGCAGTCCGAGAATAAATTACCCGCTCTCCCTCGGGATTACTAATGTAATTATTTGAAAGAGGGTTCTCGTTAGAGTGTGCAGAGGTGTGGAAGACCTGCGGAACAAAACAGAAGACAGAGATGGAGCAGCAAGGGTTTAGCGACTGGAAATTAACTCGCTGCTCAGAGCTCCATAATTGATAGGAGACAAAGATACCTTTGATTGGAACCAAAGGAAAGAACCGGGACAAGAAAAATTTCCTCGCTGCTCTTTTCTATTTTTTTTTCTTTGTCTACAACAAGAAACGTACAGCAAAGACAAAAGGGAAGAGTACAGGATGGAAATAAGGAAACGTGATCCACTGGTCACAGATAAGACTTTATTCAATCTGTGAAGAAACCAGAATCCTTAGAAAGAAAGGTACTTTACATGTCTCCAGAAGGTGTTGGTTCTTTTTCTCTTATTGTACAGTTTAAAAAAAGTCTCCAGCAATAATGGCAAAAATACAACACTATATGAACACTTTAATTCCAAAATGCTATACATCCATTCATCCAAACACCTAAGCATCCAGTACTGTTTGAATAAGAAAAATCCAGCAAGTAGAAATGTCAACAAGTTATCCTGCTTTCAAGTCTCAGCTGTCAGTCATTCTGCCCATGCTGGCTTTCCTTGTTTCAAAAGGTAAATATCTCATTTTGGAACAAAACTCTTCATATGCAGATTGTCTGAGTAGCAGAAGTCATTAACTTGTTTAAGCATGCCTCAGAAAATAAATCAAGAAACAGTACAGCACTTTTTTCCCTTCTAGGATAAAACAGGAAACATAACACAGCTACTGAAGCAGAAGAGCATCAAAGTGAGAGACATCTAAATGAGGACTGGAGCTGGAGAGTCAGACCAAACAGACAGCTTTGCATGAAGCTTCCAGATGAAAGTTCCTCCCATCTCTTAGTTTTTAATAGTTTGTCTTTGTTCCTTTCTCAGAACGTTTCTTTTCATAGATGCTAATTAAGTTTGCGTTTTAAATGATGAGGCTGCTTCTTATAAAGTCTTGACGACTTTCACACAGGCAAAATGACCTAAACTGCATTTGTACAGAACGTCCTCTGTCTACATTCAAACTGTAATTACGTGCTGCGATTTACAGTATCCCTCGTTTCAGGCTGAAAATCCTCCTCTTGAGATGTTCACAGTCCTGTACTGTCTGGACATTTTGACAAACAACAGTCTCTTGTTCTTCTTATCCAACACAGCCAATTAGTGAAGTAGGAGTAGTTAATTATTTAGCGACAGGTAGAGAGAGACTCAAATATTCCTTCTTGTTCAGCTGTATAGGTTAAAGTGATTCAAAGCAGTGTAAGTACAGTTTTTGTTCAGAGGGTGAGCTCAAAGCAGCACACTAGGAAATTTTCTAGCATTTAGTGGAAAAAAGACATTATTTATGTTGGCCACAAAAACCAGCTGTTTAAACATTTTCTCTATACTGGGATGATGGACTGCCACTTCTCTATTAAATGAAATGTAAATCCAAGTTGGCATCTGCCTTGGGTAAATTATTTTTTACAAGGAAAACAAACCAAAAAAAAAGCAATTTATCATCAACTACACTGGATTTTACTGGTTCTTCTGGTTTTAAATGAACTTTCTTATTAAAAAGTACCCATGTTCTGAACCAAAAAGCTGGGCCCCGGTTAAATGACAACAGGTCCAGCTAGGTCCAGATAAAACAAGTTTTTACAATGTCAAAAAATATGTCAACCAATATATGACATATTTAGTCAAGATGCAAGAGCAAATGATGTTGGAAGAGCAGTACTAACCAAAGATTAAGAATCTATGAAAGTGGTATAATCAGTGTGATAGACAGCATCAAATGGCAAAAGGACGTAGGTTTGTCAATTATTTAAAGTTCCTTATTGCCCTGCTGAGATGAATGGAAATGAAAAATAAAAAATTACAATTAAAACGTGGATTTTAGAGAAGGTGCTAAAACTGTGCCATGTTTGTGTTCTAACATGTAAACGGACCTCCTACTGTTTTCCGCATTATTGCGTTCCTCGGTGAGCGGTTCTGACCCCTTTTCCTGTCTTGCCAATTTGGAAGCATTAAGACGTCAGCTGCTGCAACGAACGCTGATGCGTCGAAAGAAGCGAGAGTAGAGCGTGAGTAAACTGCAGCCCCGGGGAACATTCATACATAATGTCGGAGATCAAAGTGTGACGTGTTCTTGTTATGCTAAGCACATTCAGACTCTTACTGGGATCAGCCACATTCAGAAATAAAGCAGCGAAAGAAAATTACTGTTTTTTGTAACACAAACTGCTTAGAGACATAAAAGAGTTAATACTCACTGAATGGGGCTGAGTAGCTTCACAAAGAAGAAAATACTATAATAAGCGTTACATTACATTACTAAACAAACCAAATAAAATGTAACAACCACAAATTTCTTGACACATTTTTTTTGAAAAGCATAGCAACACTTGGTAATCTTCAAGAAGAAAAATTCAAGTTTTTTTCTTTACATTGACAAAGAACATTTACATTGATCAGTTAGTTACAGCTTTGCTTCTCTTGAAAAGTTGAAGATCCATATCTTCCATAATTAACATAACATGAGGGAGCATCCTACTCCTCCCAGGTCTGGTGACATGACTGTTCAGATTAGCTTATAGCACCTTTACGTTGCATGTTACCTGGTCTCCTTTGCAAGTCCGTGAGCCAGACGTTCCAGCCAAGGGCTAAAAAGCAACCGAGTCATTCATAGCATGAAGCATGGAGAGGAGGGAAAAGGAGGAGGAGCAACATGGGAACTACGTGGAAGCAGGAATGGGACTCTGCCTTTAGTGGTTAAGAGGCTTACTGAGAGTTTCAAATGAGGCAAAAGGGAATCACGTCAGACATCTAGACCTCTTGTGCCCCCATACACTCACTTTGATTTCTCAAGCACAGACATGCTGGTGAAAAGAAAGAAAAAAAGAACACTCCAGCATGCTCCAGGCCTGAGGATGGGATCAAACAAGGAAGATAAGGGCAGTAGTAAAAGTTCTTAGTGGGAGGAAATTTGTAAAAAGATGGAAACTGATGTTCAAAAGTATGAAAAGCTTGGTGAAAACAAATGTCCCGTTAGTGCTGTGTAGCCGTGGTTCAGCTAAAACCGTCCCTTAGACGAGGCATTGGTCTTTTGCATTTCTGAGAGCAGCATCAGATTGTCAGTGCAGTAAAAGAGGATTTGAAGAATCGTCAGTTCGTTTGCATTTTACTGTCCTTCCATTAACCCTTGTCTCTTCTCTTTTAAAGTCCATGCTGAGATGAAGAAATGATGGCATATGACAGAACACAACAGTGTGAGGGAGCGTCCTCCTTCCCTCACTCGGTCAGCTTCACGATCAGATTCTCCGGACGTGTGCTGCACATGATAAACACACATCTGTGTAATATTTACAGGATTTGGTCCTTTCTGCCTGCTGCCTCACCTACCTCTCTTCATTTCTTTCTCCTTACTGATGGTAGGGGTTTGCAGATGAGATTCCTGTAGTCACGTAGTCCTGGGATTGGGCAGGTCAAAGACAATGGGCGGGTTCATGGGAAGGAAGTTCACGGTGCAGGCTGAGGCATTGATGAAAGTCGTTGTGCCATCTGTCATCATGCCATAACCTGAGGAGTTTTAAAAATGTCAGTGTCAATTTGATTTCTATAGGGCATTGGAAAGGTTGACCAAAATGCTTTACAAGTTAGTTAACAAAAAAAAGAAAATAAATATAAATAAAATAAGACATTCAAAACAAATAGAGGTTACAGTTTATTTCAGAGTCTAAGACCCTGATCCCCTCTTTGGATCGGGCCCTTAGACTCTGGAAGCTGTAGTAAGAGGATCTGCCTATATGATCTCAGTACTACTTTTGGGTTATATAACTCCCTGAAAAGCCTTCAGCTGATCCAAAATGCTGCAGCAAGAGTCCTGACAGGGACTAGAAAGAGAGAGCAGATTTCTCCTGTTTTGGCTTCCTGTTAAATCCAGAATTCAAAATCCTGCTCCTCACATACAAGGTCTTAAATAATCAGGCCCCATCTTATCTTAATGACCTTGTAGTACCATATCACCCTATTAGAGCACTTCGCTCTCGCTCTGCAGGCCTACTTGTTGTTCCTAGAGTATTTAAAAGTAGAATGGGAGGCAGAGCCTTCAGTTTTCAGGCCCCTCTTCTGTGGAACCAGCTTCCAGTTTGGATTCAGGAGACAGACACTATCTCTACTTTCAAGATTAGGCTTCAGCTGGTTTAAATTTGCTAAAACTGGAGTGATGTGGTTATATCTTCTAATACCTGTTGCCAAGCAAGCAATGGAGAGTGTTAAAGACTAAGCTAGAGAGAACAGCAATAGTCCAAACTACTAATGAAAAAGTTGGCAGATGTTTACAACTGTAGACACTAAAAACTAAGATTTCTAACAGTATGGGAGTAATGATAAGCAAGGGGACCAAGGGTTCCACCAAGGGTGTCAGTTAACTTATCCAAAGAGTAGTTACAGCTTCCAAATCCAATAGTTTCTGTCTTGCTTTCATTTAGGGTTAGACAATTGTGTTAACCAGTCTTTCATGTAGACAGTTAAACCAAGGGAGCAGGGGGACAGAGACAGTTTCATACGGATGTAAGTTTGGATGTCATCAGCATAACAGTGAATATTATATTAACAGGGATCAAAATGGACCTCTGTGTGCACCACACAACTCAGAACCTTCAAATCCTTCAGCTGTCCTGATTATTCATATGTAACTTTGGTTTTAGTTATTCATTTGGTTATTAATCAGACCTCCACGTTTAGGCTTTATGACACTAAACTTGTCTACATTTTTCATTCAACCGTGGGGAAAAAGGACAAACAGAAGAATTTCAATCAGTGACTCAACAGTTACTGGTATAAATATATGCTCCTTTCACTTTTTGTAAAACAGAAAAAAGGGACGATGCTAACTATTTTATAAAAAAACAACGATGCAGACATTTGGGGTGGAGCAGTTTGACTCCCCAAATGGAAGAGACTTGGAAGCGTTGTAAATATGCTCCAGGGAAACAAAAGTCTGAGAGTGTACCACAGGAAGAATCGTAACTGCGGCGGTTCAAGGGACAAATAAGAGATACTGCAGATCTGAACTGAAGAAACAGCTGCAAAACTGGAAGCTAGAAAGGCTCATGTGTTCTGAAATCCTGAGATTCTAGTTTGTGAAAATATATGCAGAGTGTGACACTAACACCACTACACGTCTGCTTCAAAAGTGCATGCCTTCCAAATGGCAGACATTAAAGTGTTACAGTTTTTCAAGCATAAGTTAACTGCCATCTCTTAAAAAGCACTACATTTTAACGTTGTGCCGTGAACGTGTCATTTTCACCATCTCTTGGAACATTGCTTTGCATTTCTGTGCTGCTCCTTTCACATTTGGAATACATGAATACAAAACACGCTGAGGATCATTTCTGCCTCTCTGTGAGGCCTCACATTAATGAAGAGCACTGCTTTCAACCCATTTCTCCTCTTATAAAATCTGATCTAGTTTCTAATCTGGTTCTCTCTGATGTGGGACTCGTGCTCCAGGGGTTCAGTGCTGACCTGATAACCCTAAATAAAAAGCCACCCTCAACGCTGGGAGTGGGCCTCTTTGGCCCTGCTGGCCTGTATGAAATGCTGATAGAATGTGGCCGCTCAGACATTCTATGTTTTTTAAAACAAAAGTGTTTTGTGTTAGTTTAATCATTTAATTAGCATTTTAAGGTTGATGGATTTTCACAGATTTGCACTACCTTTATATGTTAACATGTGATTAGTTGAAATAAAACCCTATGGAACCACTGATACAACAGTTGCACGGCAACATTAGATGCTTAATAAAAAAAAGCCTTGTACTAATTAGCGTACTTCTTTTTCCCTAAACAGAAATTCCTCACATTATATGTGAGTTTGCATGTGTCAGAATTCTGATTTGAGTCACCTCATTTCAGTTTTCTCGATTTAGCACCAAATCACATCAACAGGCACCTCGAAGCACTTTATATCGCAGCTACACACCTAAACAGCAGTTTTCTTTCTGCTGTGGTTCAGGCTGAATCAACCTTTGTCCAACTTGTAAATGTAATTCATAAATTTACCTTTAAAATTCTGTTTTCAAGTCTAATAATTCAAAGTAAAATTATCAGTGGAAATATATTTAAACATATTTGTGCATAAAATTAAATTCTAAATTGTTGATGTTTGGTTTTCTCTCTATTTTACAATGATAGCAGAGTAATGTTGCAGCCACACAGGTTACGTGATGCAACAAAAAAGTTGTTTAAGCTGTTTCTTAAAGGCTGCTTACTAAAAAGCCTTTTTTTTTTTTATTAGTTAGCTACCGGGAGCCTACTGAGGGGCAGAGCTAAGTGCTTGTAAGCTGTTTGGTCTGTAATTTGTGAACAGCCTGCGCTGGTCTAAAGAATATAACATTCAGATTCCTCTCAGATCTGATTTTTCATTCAAAGTGATTCATTTTCCATCCATTCGCTTCCGCTTATCCTTTTCAGGGTCGCGGGGGGCGCTGGAGCCTATCCCAGCTGTCATAGGGCGAGAGGCGGGGTCCACCCTGGACAGGTCGCCAGTCTGTCGCAGGGCCAACACACAGGGACAGACAACCATTCACTCGCACATTCACTCACAGATTCACACCTATGGGCAATTTGGATTAATCAATTAACCTATCCCCACAAACTTGTGGGTGATTCATTTTATATTTTATATTACCTTTAAATTATTGAATACACATAATTTAAATATCAACGTCCATTTAATTGTAGGGTTCATTACTGCATTAAACATAAAGTATTCGACAGCAGTGTAATTAGTCGTACCTTCATGAATGTGTCCGAAAACATGTAATTTAGGCTGAACTCTCCTCTGGACTGTGTTGAGCAGCTCCATGCACCCAACACGCTGCATCTTCTTGGGAACCCAGTCCAGGAAACCTGCACACAGAGACGTGAATCAGATACGCTGCCATGCTCACAAAGCTTATGAAGGTTTGTGGAAAAAAATCTGCAAAGTAATGCAGTTTTTTTTTTTTATTTGGTCAGTTAGTTTCATAAGAAAATGATGCCCATTTCCATCCACTACCTTTATGCAAGAGCTGGGGTGTCAGCTGTTCTACAGTGGGGTGTATTTAAACCCCTCCAACAGAAGAGGAGACACTGAGGTGATAGAAGTTGAAAAATGAGAAAGATTAATCTTTCTGGTTGACCAGCTGAGCCAGGAGTCACGTAACTTTTACTTTTCTACCAACAACATCTCTGAACATTTAAAAATCACACCAATTGGTTTTTGTTCTGGAGGTTAATCCAACATGATGACGGTACTGTGTGAGCACTGAACAACATGGGAATGCCTTCACAGCGGGGCTGATTCTGACAGCTTTTTTCATTCAGTGCAGTTGTAGACATGCAATAAAAATCTTTGTTTTATTGCAGTTTTTTATTTGTATAATTAACTAATTGCAATCAAAAAGAAAAAAATGGAAGGAAATCACTATACTACGGAGCCCCCCAGGGGACATGGGAGAAAAAAAATTGGGGAGGAAAAAAAAAATTAAGACGGACTTTTGCGAGATCTCGCAATACTTATTGCGAGCGCTCGCAAAAGTATTGCGAGATCTCGCAAAACTCCAACAATGGCGGCAGCTACTTAGTTGTAATATTACTCTTTCTGGGTCACAAAATACACTTTTAAGATATTTTGAGGCGTGAATGTAGTTGTGTAAACGTCAGATACCTGCTTGGTTTACAAGACATCACATATTTGCAAAAGAGCTCCGAGGTTTTTGGAGATCTGACACCCACAAGCTCGAAGCTAACGGGAGGTCGAGACCTACTACAGCCGGGAGGAACACCGCTTTCCCGGCACATCGTGCCTCGACCTCCCGGTCGGCTTCGAGCTGGCGGCCTCCGAAGAATGCGGCTAAAACTTTTGCGAGATCTCGCAATACTTTTTGCGAGATCTCGCAATACTTTTGCGAGCGCTCGCAATACTTACGAGATCTCGCAAAAGTCAGTCTTATTTTTTTTTTCCTCCCTAATTTTTTTTTTTTTCCTCCCTAATTTTTTTTTTTTTCCTCCCATGTCCCCTGGGGGGCTCCGTACTATACACATATGTGTGCAGTCAAACTACCAGAAAGATACTGGAAATTGTATTTTCTGGTTTAATTATGTAGTTCAATACTCCCTAACATCGGAAACTCGTTCAGTACTTGTATCCTTACCCTCCCACAGCAATGATCCTTGCTGGATCATTTCACTAATTCATTTAATGTGAGCTTGGTGATGCTGAGTTACATTTTTTGAAAATATAAAACAGTTATCTTTATTTCAAGACATAAATGTTATGAATGCCATAGTATGAAATTTGATGCATACATACTTGAGAAAGAAGCTCTTCTTTTCAAGCTGCTTGTCTAATGGCAAACAACATTACACAGCACTGAAAAAAGACTCTTAAAAAGCAGCCACAGAAAATAAAGATCAATCAAAGCCGCACACAGATGCATACTTCACAGTATGTGTGACAAGGATAAAGCACGGAGTGTATATGATTTAGTGTCTCCTCCGCGACGACGGATGCTGCTGATGCTGAGTCAATAAAAGCATCAAGTCAGAGCAATAAAATGACTGAGGACTGCGCGCCTCCATCTTCCCTGCTGTCTGTCGCTCTGCTCAGACAAGAGGACGAACAAAACAAAAAAGGCAACAACGATGAAGGCTAAAGGCTACAGCATCCTCAGTGCAGGAAAATAAAAGTTCTATTAAATATAACTAATGGTTATTGTGATCAGTGAATTCAGATTTTAAGTGTAAAATCATATAAAATGCTACCAAATTTCAATTTCTTATCTGCCTTAATGTAAATATGTTTTATTCAGTATGACATGAAAGAGTCTACTAACTCATCAGGGAACAAGGTTCAACGTGAGCAACTTCTCATTAGTTCTTTGAAAACATCTTCAAGCTAAAGGGTCATGCAGTATAGCAGATATATAGTACAGTTGTTCTGCTGTGTGTGTGTGTGTGTGTGTGTGTGTGTGTGTTCACAGCTCCGTCACTTCCCACTGTGTGTAGCAGAAATCTATAGACATACATGGAGCAATCGTGCAGTGACAACAACGTCATAGAAATCTGTATAAATAGTATAAAGTATAAATTAAGTTTCCCAACAAGTGTAGGAGGAAACAGAAAGCAGTTCTAGCTTGAACAGGTTGTACCCAGCAGTTCCCCGTATCTGCAGAGACTGCAGTCTCTCTCTGTTCAGGACTTCTTGATTTTACATACGAACATGTTTCTCTCCTGCTTACCAACACGCTCACTGTTGCAGTGCGTCTCCCTGCATGCAGCAGAGAGAGCGGCGAGGCTGAGGATGAATCAGGGAGACATTTGTATAGTAATATATTAAATGAAACAAAGGTACACAGTTTTAATGAAGCCACTTAAAGCCACACAGGGACTATTTTCATGGAAAAAAACAGCAAAAAACAAAAACGAAACAAACAGACAAAAAACAACATTTCCACAGACACAACTTTTTGGGGGATTTTATCCGTGCCTGCAGTGAGACTTGAATTATCAAGTTGAAACAGCACACACAGCTTTCAGGGTGTAGTCGGGGTGCTAGCTCAGGAGGTAGACCGGGTCATCTACTGATGGGAAGGTTAGCGGTGTCTTTGGGGAGGATATTAACCCTGAGCTGCTCTCCGATGCATCCATCGGAGTGTGAATGTGTGTGAATGTGGCATGTTGTATAAAGAGCTTTGAGTGCTCTGGGAGAGCAGAAAAGCGCTATAAAAGAATCAGTGCATATGTTCCAAACATACGACAGTAATCTTTAAGTATGTGTTATTGTGGGGTCGACCTTACAATATAAAGCACCTTGAGGCGACTGTTGCTGTGATTTGGTGCTGAATAAATAAAATTGAATTGATATTTTTAAGAATCTAAGTCGTTGAGGGTAACACTTTTTTTGGGTAAAAGCTTCAGGCAAACAAATTTAAATGTCCTGGTTTTTCTTATTGATTAAGCTCCAGCTGGAAATGATGTTTTGGGGCTTCAGGCCACTCAATGCTATAAGTTTAATTGTATAATGGGAGGACTTTTCCCACAATGAAAGCCCCGATACTACATCAGAGGTGCTGCTGATCTGTTTGCTTTTAAAACAAAGAGAAAGAAAGACAGCCTTTATACATTTTTATATTCCCCAGCAACCTGCTCACAGCAGAATTAATGGACCCGCTTGTGCTCAGCAGAGGAATAACGACATCTGTGTACTAAGCTGGCAGTGAATCAGTCATGGTTGTAAAGTGATACAGACCAACTTCTTTACCCTCTAAATCTCTCCACCTGTAAAACACACACACACACACACACACACACACACACACACACACACACACACACACACACGTTTAGGATGGGTTTAGGCATAAAATGCCTTAAAAGTGTAAGTATATTTTTACAAGCCTTGGGAGATGGTGGAAGTAAAGTGAGAAGTTACGAGGGCTTTTTGTGTCTCGGGGTATTTCACTCTAATGTGCTCCTTGTTTCGAAGCAGCTGCTGCTTTGGGCATTGAGCCTGTTTTCCTCTTTTTGTCTCACTTTCTCCCTTGTTCTCTCTGCTGTTAACTTCTTCCTCACAGCCAGATGAAGGGGCCATATTTTTCCTCTCTTGCCGCCGATCTGCAGCTTTATCGCGCCTCATAAAAGACGTTCGCTTTTGCCGCAGTGCGAAATTATGTCTTGCTCCCGCTCCTTTTTGCTTCACCTTCTCATCTGTTGTGTTTTACTTCGTCTTATTAAAAACAATTTGAAAATACTGTAGCGTCCGCGTTTGTGTTCCTTTCCCTTTTTCCATACTACTTTTTTTTTATGTCATTCCCTCCAAGTCTTGCTCCGAGTATGTGTGTGTGTGTGTGTGTGTCATGCATTAGTAGCCTGCTGTAGCTGCTCCATATGCCTGTGGCTTATGAGCAGATAGCTGGAGACACTTGGCTAAGCTGAATGGAAAATAAATGGCCGTGTTCGCAGCCGAGACGCAGACAAGGAAATCAATCACACACACTCATCTGAACACCACAGCTGCAGCAGGAGATGAGGTGTGAAAGTGTGTGTGCAGGAGAGAAAGGAGTGTGTGTTTAGCCATATTTGTGATGCTTGCACAGGATGTCAGTCAGCTTGTGAGCTAGCATCTGTGTTTATTCAGACTGCTGCAACACTGGTGTGTAAGAGGATGAAAACAAGTGTGTATGAGCTGAAAAGTGATTACTAAGAAGGCTAATGATCTCCTGTACAGGTAAAGTGTGCTCTCAGGCAGCGCAAGCTGAGCTGACTGATCTGTGTGAGTCATCGCTGTGATTACTTTCACCTTTTATGCATCCACTCAATCCAACAATGATTCATCGGGGGCCCTTTCCACCACTCTTTCATTTGAAAGGTAAATGAACCATTGACAGAGCATGCTCAAGCTGTGCGTGTGTGCACGTCTACAAAAGCTGTGGATAAATGTCTGCATATACAGACTGTATGGTTTTCTGTAGTGTTTCTACAAGGACTACCGCGGTAAAATTTCATGCGTTGAGCATGTGACACGCTTTCTCGCTGCTCACAGAAAAGCTCAAAGCTGCTCGTTTATGAAAAAAAGAAAAAAGCACAGTTAGCTTTCTTAATCTTAATACCTGACTTGTTCCACATTTCAGCTTCAAATACACTGTATGAGTTTGATTTGTGAGAGGCACACAGGCCTTCCTGTAATGTCATAGTCACATTATGGAAAACAGTGGCTGCAGACTGCAGCACGCCCAAAATAACTGTGACTGTGTGCAATGATGTCTGCTTCAACTGCTCTGTGAACACTTACAGGCAGCTGAGGTCTGACACAAGAGCACTGAGACTGAGTCCATTTCAGTTTCTCAATGCAAAAACCCCCAAACAACAAAGGGCACTGCTGTGTTTTTATTCTGATGGAGCTGAACGAGAGGCTCATAAATAGACTCGTCAGTAAATGCAGCCTGATTTGTCAAAATGTCATCAGAAGCTGAAGTTTTGCTTGCTGCTTTTTGATACATACAGCTTCATAGCATCCACGTGTGTGTCGCCAACTTTTTTTTTCAGAAATATCAGCTTCAGGACACAGAGTTGGGCTCGGACAGTAACTCATACTTGTAGTGTAGTTCAGAAGCCCTGAACTTTGTTCATTATTTTCTATTATTGGTTTATTTTTCTTCTTTTTTTTGCTTAAATTTAAATTTTAGTTACTGTGCCAATATTCTGTGTATAGATTTATTGTGACCTCTAATATCTTTTGAAATTACTGAGTAATAGCTAATATAGTAAATACTTTTTAATCAATAATGATAGAAGGTTTGTAAGTGTGAGTGATCTGAGCTGACCAGAATAATCGGAGAAAGCGGGCAGAAACCTGCCGCTCCACATCTACAAATCTATAACCAGTGCAGCACAAACACATGCGCAAAATAGATCTGTGGAGGCTGAAAGTATGTAGCTTAGTCAGTCAGTTTACCTAGCCTTCTTTCAGTCTGACACGATCGTATCAACATCAAGTAAAAAGCACAGATAGATAGATGCTTATGGCTCCGCCCCTGTAAACAAAACATGTTGCTCCATGAAACGGCCCCTCCCATACGGAAAAGATATATATAAATCTTATAAAGTTTGTATCTGTCTTGTGTGAAACTTGTATGAAAAGCATACAAGAGTGAAAACAGATATAAGATCCCTTGAAAAATTATATAATGAAACTTGTATGTTTTGGATACTTACTAAAACAATATATGAAAGTAACGAGAAAGTGGCCTCTTTCACGAGTAAATCATAGAAGCCTTCAATGATTCACTATATGAAGCAAGCCAAATCTAATGCAAGTTTTTTCTATTTCTTTTCCATATGGGCTGGCTTACAAAGGGCGTGGCCTCTGAACTGACATGATGACATAGTCTAGTCTTGTTCTCCACGATTTCAGTCATCAGTTGTGTTTTCCGCCTAAATTTCAAATTTTTGTATGTTTTTCTGGTTCCATGCTATCTCTCTCAGCCTCCTCCTCGTGTTTTCTTGGCCTGCCTAATTTATGAAATTTCACACAGCAAAGCTCAGTTTTTCTCCTTCCAACAAGGCGAGATTATGCCGTGTTTGGTTCCTCCTCTCTTTTGAACTGAAAGTTAACAATAAATGGAAAAATAAATAAAAGATTAGGTGAGTTTTTGCGCCGGTCTCTCCACGCACAGATGTGACGCATTCTGTTCCAAACACATGTGGTGTATTTATCGAACCATCTGTGTGTGCTTTGTCTCAGTGTTCTGAGTGCACCTCTCTCCTCGTTGCATATGTATTTAAGGGAGGGCTGCTCAAATGAAGTAGACAGGTTAACTTCGGCTAATTAAAATATGTTTTCTGCTGGATTTACTCTAGTGTCCATGTCTATTTACACAAGCCAGATCGACTGCAATGAGGAATTAAACATGTACTGTATTAAATGGAACCTTTAATTTACACAAGCAACAAAAGAAAAAAGTAACAGTTAAGCTACAAGATAACTGAATGTAAACAAGTGTGGATTTGAAGCTTTGACTTGTAGTCACTGAAGATGAATTTGATCTGTACGGCAGACATAAAACAGACATAAACACTCACACCTTGTCTTTATGTCTTGAATATAAACTTCCTATAGACATTCACGTAGCTCACTCTTACTGCCCGTGCTGCACTGCTGCAACATGAACAAGTATCCTAACAGGTTGACTGACGAGACAAAAAGTACAACAAACCCAAAACAAGGTGGTGATGATGGTGGTCTGGGGCTGCATCGACGACTTGCTGTAATTGGTGGAACTCTGAATTGTGCTTGCATAACTTCTACCAGGGAAATTCAGACGGAGAATGCCAGGCCATCAGTCCTTAAACTGATGCTCAAGGGCACTTGGGCTATGCAGCAGCTTTTCACAGTCATCATTTAATAACTTCATATTGTACCTGTGTTATCCTTATAGATGTAAAATATCTATAAGATGTAAAAATGTATTTGATGATCTGAAACATGTAAATTTGACAAAAAAAATCATTCCACTACCAAATAATTGCAACTAAAAATGTATGTCAGTAACAGTGTTTCAAATTGAATATCTATGCACATGTGTGTGTGTGTGTGTCAGTTGTAATATGTGTCTCACCCAGTGGAGGGCAGTGTGTGACCAGAATGTCTGTGTTGTCTGGGATCTGGTTCCACTTATCCAGCAGAGCTTGACCTCGCGGCAGGTTGAAGCCCCAGCCGTAGTACCAGGGTTGCCTGCATACACACACAAGAGAAAACAGAGACATCATGCTTTGTCTTACAGCATCCAACAGGTGTCGCAAACCTTCTAGTTCTCCAGTTTTACATTAACAACACTGAACACTGGAGTTGAGCATTGCACTAAACACAGGACCTTTCTTTTTATTACCGGGTGTAAATCAGAACTCGGTCAGTCTAAATTCTACATGATAAAATCGATGAGTTCGATCCCTGGCTGCTCCAGTCTACATGCCAAATATCCTTGGGGAAGATATCCATCGGAGTATGAGTGTGTGTGAATGGTAGCATAGCAAAAAGTGCATGCTTGACTGAGGTTGTGTAAAGTGCTTTGAGTGCTCAAAAGGACTAGAAAAGCGCTAAGAACAAGTCCATTTACCATTACCCTGACCTCAATAATCTGCTGGCTGATCGTTTGTTGTAGAATTCATTCTCACAGTTTAATTTAAAGGACCCAGAAAATAAAGCGGAGCTGCTGTCCAGTACATAAGCACCTCACAGCACTGCATTTCCTTTGTTTCACCTGTCTGTATGACCGCTGTATTTTATTTATGTGTATTTTGTATCTGCCACTCCTCGGTGCATGCAAATCACACATGAAGAACTAATCATGGTGAAACACCCTGAGTTATTTGAGCAGAGCTCATTTCTATCATTTAATATCTGCTTTATAGTCAGAGATGAACACTAATAAAGAGGAAAACACATCAAAGCAAGATTTTAAAAAATGCAAAAGAAAACACATTTTTAGTAACATGACCAAACTGTTTCTGCATCGTGGATAAAGAGCATGTTGAACAACTAAGTGCTACAAAATGAGAGGGAGTTATATTGCAAAACAACATATCCAGTAAACTTGTGAAATCTGTTCAGATGTCTATTCACATTAATGTACAGAATTCACCTGCTTGCTGCTACTACTGCACATTCACCCAGTGTGTGTGTATATATATATGTATATATATATATATATATATAGAGTGTTTTTCCTCTACACCCCCCCCCAATTTTTTTGCACATGTCGAGGAGCGTGTCAGGCTACATTTCACTGTGTGTTATACTTGTATAACTATGCATGTGAACCTTGTGTTGAAGCTTCTTCATGATGACGGTCTACGTGGAGTTTTTCTGATCTATGTAACTTTTGGCACTGGTGGCACATTTGTGGCCCGACCTCTGGAAGCTGTCTGCAACTTTAAGAATATCTCACGAAAATGTATGGAGATCATCAAAGTTGACACGCGATGCTGACCCATTATTCCTTAACAATGTTTAATGATGCTCTGATACGTGTAACCTTGTAATTGCGATGCCCGACCATGCTTGCTTTCAGTCGCTAAACATGCAGTTTGACCTTCGGGACATGAAAGCAGTAATAGGATGTAGAGCAAAGGGATAAATCAAATGGTTTTGAGGGAGATGGGTGAGTAGAAAGATATATTAAACATCTCCTTGCGCACAATCAAGCCTGGAATGCACCAGGATGAGAAGACAAGGGAAAAAAGAAGAGGAAAGCCTTGATGGCTGGGGCTCGTGTCCCTTTACTTTGATAGCGGACGCCTTGGCCGTGAGTGATGCAGAAGAAATTAACATGTCACTTACAATCTGTACTCCGATCCATCTTCCTCGACAACACGCTGCACGCTTGTGTACATGTGTGCAACCGCAGGCGACAACGTCCTCGGCTGCTGCCATGCAACCAACTTTTTATAAATTGCTGAGTGCAGTCACTCAAAACACCAACTTTATCGCTGCGGCCACTGCCGACACGTCTGTGCTCAGTGAAACGTCAGATGAGGATTTTTCGGAATAATTTCCGGTGTGCCGATGTGTGTGTGGGCGGGTGTCTTACATGGTTAGGAACTTCAAAGACAGAAAGACAGGACTGAAGATAGGAAGAAATATCTGTCACAATGAATGTTTTCCACCTTTCCCTCTAATTAATAAAGCTAAAAATGGCAGCTTGGAGGTCAACAATGCGGGGACGGCTGGTCAAGCAGATGCGACAGTGCATCATGGAAAATCACCTCCTGTTTCAGCTTGAGTGCGTGCGATTAAAATTCCATTACTTCTTGAAGATCAGAGACTAAACATTTCTGACGAATGATCCAACACTGCCCATGAACACAAGCTCAATAATTTACATGGTGAATATTAAAACACTTGGACTGGCCTTAGCATATTAATGGAGCCTGTGGAATTTAATATTCATGTTGATCTTAACATAGATGTCTCAATTAAAACAGATGAGCTCAGCTATACGATTGATGCTGCAGATTCTCTCTGTGAGGGATAAAGAGCGAGTAAAGGAGAAGACGAAAGAAACCCTTGTGTTAATGACCAGCACGTGCTGATTCAGCTTAACAGCGATAGATAAGCAAAGAGAAAAATTCATGAAGACACTGATAACAAGTGGTGAGATGCTTGGATTGACACATAAACGCTCAAACCAACCATTTTGCTTGTTTTATTGAAATAAAGTACATTTTATGGTGTTTGCAGACTGTAGAGAGTCTGTAGTGAGAGTAGGAAGCTGATGAGAGCCACGAGAGGTGGAGGTATGAACTGGAGTGTCAGTGGAAGCCAGACAGAGTAAATGTGTGTGGATGAGAAGCAAACAGATGGAACGAGTTTCAGGACCCGTGTCAACCATCCACCTGCTCCTTTGATTCAAAGGCAAAGAATGAGACGGCGTTATTGCTCAGAAGGTTGTGTTTTATTTCATTGTTACACCTGGATCTGTTGTTTCTGTCTCTGTGATGGAGTGAAAGCTTAAGTTTAGATGCATCATTCGTTTTTCTTCCATTTTGCCACCATAGTTAAGGAGAAACACTGTTTGAGCATCACATTTCAATGCACTGGGCACAGATTTTAGTGCAGGGTATCATGTGAGACCATAGCCAAGTGTGCCCTACTAGTGTTGTTGCACTAGGGCACCAACGCTGTGCCTCACTGCTGAATGCAGCATCTTCCAAAAGGTGCACATTTTTACTTTAAAAGTCTACATTCTCCATTTCTCATTTGCAGGACACTCGTCAAAATTTCACTGGTGCTAAGTGGGCAGTTGGTCAGTGTTTGCAGAAAAAATGCTTCATCCAAATAAATAAGGGCAACTCTAGAATTCTGTTAGCATGGAGACTTTTGTTGCAGCACAGTATAGTGCACTAAGCAACAGTGAAATGCATGGGGGTTAAATGGTGTTGTTAGCATTTTAGCAATTGATGTTTCTGCCTGAAACCCAGCAGGTCTTTAGACTTTCGTGACTGCCCTGATGAAGATGAAGGCAAAGTCTCCTCTGGATGAAAGCCATGTGATTATGCCATCAACTGTTGTAACTTGGTGTGGAATTTAGTCAGTTTTCTACTTATTTTTTTTTAACTGTAAGGAAAAGAATTAATGCTGAAACTGACATTATGCTTTGCAATATGGTTAGAAGAATATATCATTTCTAGTTTTCTGCATCTTCGGGCTCGTATGACGTTTTAAAGAAAGCAGAAGGAACTGATGATTGATCACTGAGCACCTGTCAGAACTTTTTGAAACATAGTTTGGTGGAATAAAAACTTATAACAAGATTTTCAAAAGGCTGCAAAATTTCCAAAGGAAGAAAAAATCATTATCTCAAATTCGTCATAAAGTCCCTAAAACACTGATGGTCTAGTCTATCATTTTGTCAACGAAGGATTATAGTATCTTTGCTAAAGCACTGGAGCTTGTTTTAATTTGGTACCATCAATCATTCTGTATGGGAAGGTGTCACTCTCTTTCAAACAGTTATATCTCATTTTACCAGCAAACCTCCTCATAGTGTCCACGGTGCCAGGAAAACGTGTCCGTGCCGATTGTAGGCGTCACAGTTACTAAAAAGAGATTATCTCCCGCGAGGAACTGACCGTATCTTCTTTCTAGGAGAGAACCACTCCTGTGTTTGCTGAGCAAACCCGGGAATAACTAAATGTAATTCCACTGATCATATCCCTGCTCTAAAGTGATGTTTTTTATCAGGTAAGAGATTACAATGATACAGGTGATTTGTGTTAAGTTACAGGAGTAGAATCAGGCGTGCGGGCGTAGGGGGAGCGTATTAAAGATTCTGTTGACGTGCTGGGCTACTGTTTGTTATGGCTTTTACAAGAGAAAAAAGAGGAGAAAACAGATGTTTGTGCTACAGAACTCAGTCCCCAGGCGCATCTTCGGGCTGCGCGGGGGGAAAAACACAACAGCCATGAAACCGTTACTTTCATTTCTCACACTCACACAAACGTTCAGAGCTACTGGCTTCACCTCTCCTAAGGACAAGAGGAAAAGTCAAACTTGAATGCATTTTTGCAGACCTATTTTCACTTGGGTTTTCATGCATGTGTTTAACACTGTCAGTGTATATATTTGTGCATGTCTGTATAACAGAGGGGCCTCAGATATCACCCGAGCGAGTCCACGAATCATTGAATGCCTCTTCTACCTCATTCTCTCTCTTCTTCATCTCATCACGTATCTGTGCCCGTTTCTCCTCCTCTCCTCTTTCTCCTCTTGACATATTACTCCATCTCTCTGTGAATGTGTGTCTCTCTCTCCTCATTTCTCCTCCTCACTCACCTCGTTAGCGAGGGAAACGACCTGCTGCCAGGAGAGCAGTCTGCTCTCTGTGAGGCCACGTTGAGAGGGAATTTTTGAAAAGCACATCAACAGTGGAGTTATTCTGAGGTCCAGCAGGGAAGAGAGAGAAACAGGGTTTGGAGACAGGTCAGGAGGAAGTAGGACTGTACATCCAACTTTAATTTAAGACAGAAATCTGGCCAAAGGTCAGCGCATTTTTAAGTATCAAAAGCTGGCCCTTGCCAGGTTGGTTATGATTATTATGATCTGGCCAAAGACATTTGCATATTTCGATTTTTAACAGTTACAGAGCAACAGTAACTGCCGGTGTATCACACGCCTGGAGGCTTGCTGGTCTACAACTGCCCCCTGATACTCCTATACATCCTTACATTTGTCAT